AGAGGCCCAGGCCCACGTAAATTCACTCAGCACAAGCTCCCCTCCCCGGCCTTCCAACGTGTGTGGCTTGGGGATACCCCTAACCTTTGAGCTGATGTCACAGCGATCACCACTGACCCACAGCACGTCTCGTGGTGCCATAGTTCTCCATAGTGATGGTGAGGGCCACAGATATGAAGTTCTCCTGAGCATAAAGAAGGAACCAGGTCCTGCCAGAGCTCGGCGAGGTGACAGTCATTTGAAGAATGGCTCGTTTTTCCATCAAGGGGGAGGAGTTGGAGCCTGCTCCTAGGAGCTGAGACCAGCACCAGCTCCACAGGAAGAGTGGGCATGGAAGCACAGTGCATGGGGTTTATGGGTGGGCCAGGGTGCGAGGCCACACAGGGCGTGGGCAGAAGGCCATGTCACCCCAGGTGGAAGGACAGTCCAGACACCAGGAGACCACAGGGCTCAGCCAGGCAGAGCAGGTGCTGGTGTGGGTCCTGGCCAGGCTTGCCCCTGCATCCAGGCTGCTAAGGCACACCTTCCATGCGGTTTCCAGGTGAGGAAGCTGAGGCACAGGGAGTCAGGCGACCTAGCGCCCAGTGGCCAGGCTGAACTCACACCCAAACGCGTGTCCTCGGCACCCTGCTCTGTGCTCCTAGTGCTAGCTGGGAGCTGTGAAGCCCAAAGCTGACCTGCCTAGCCAGGCCCCAGTCCCTGTGCCGCCGTCACAGCCTGAGCCTCGGGTTTCTGATGTTTGTTTTAAACAGTCTACTATTTAAAAGCCTAACTTTACATCATTTAAAAAAAATTATGTGTTTTCTTTTTGGCACTGGGGAATGAATCTTGGATCTTATGGTACTAAGTGCTCACTGGATCCCGGAGCTTCTTCCCAGACCTAGGCAATTTTTCATGATGTGTAACACATGTGTGAAGAAGTACACAGGTTGGGGGAAATGATTTTCACAGGGGAAGGTGCAACAGGTGGGATGCAGTGCTTTCCCTAGGCCACAGGAGACCTGGGTCTGAGACTTAAGGGTGGGTTAGTTTTACCTCTGAGAACTGGGCAGGAATGGAAACAGGACTGTTACTCTGGTCTGGCTTCTTTGATCCAACAGGTGTTTTCTTTAAGCCATCAGTTCTTTCTCATACCCACTCAGTTATGTGAATGTGCAACTATCTGTCCACCGGCTGCTGATGCACAGACCCATGGTGGGTGGACAGACAGACTGGTCTGTCTGGGGCTGTTTTGCACAGCTGCTATGCACACTCATATGTGTGACTTCTGATCAGTGCATTTACTCACTCCTGTTGAAGTTATCCCCAGGAACTGACCTCCTGGTGCAGCATGTCTTAGCTTTGGTTGAGGTTGCTGTTTCCTTATGTGGTTGTCAGTTTGTCCTTGCATTTGAGGCTGTGAGTTTTGCATTAGCCCTGGTGGGAGTCAGTGATGTTGCACTGTGATTTTACTTTGCATTTCTCAGATGACTGATGAATTGGGCACTTTTTTTTTTTTTTTTTTGAGACAGGATCTCACTGTGTAGTTTATTTTTTATTTTTTTAATTTTTTTCTTCCAGTACTGGGAATCGAACTCACATCCTTGCACTTGCCAGGCAGGCACTGTGCTGCTGAGCTAAATCCCCAGCCCCCTCACTCTGTAGTTTAGTCTGGCCTTGAGTTCACTATGTAGCCCAGGCTGGGCTTGAACTCATGATGATCCTCCTGCCTCAGGCTTCCAAGTGCTGGGATTACCGGCATGCACCATGTCTGCTGGGCACTTATGTTTAAGGGTCTCATGTATCCTCTTCATGAAGACTGAGTCTTTCTATTTCAATTTCTATTGATTTCTCTCATTGATAAGTAAGATCTCTTCCGCATATCCTGGACACTAGAGTGGTCCTTTGATGGGTACCTTCTCATGGATAAATTGTACTTTATGGGATTTTAGCACCAGAGCTGGAAGCCCCACAGCCCGTGTTGCAGAGAGTAGACACTGTAATTGTAAAGTAAATGGAATGAAAACAACACTGTGTTACCTCTGATTCAGGCCAGTGTGCCAGTTGAAAGCTGTGGCAGCCTGAATCCTGCTGAAAGGAGGGATTAGCTAGTGAGAGAAGATAAGCATCTCTGGGAACCGTCCCCTTGATGCAATCTAAAGACTGCACAGTTAAGAAAGAAACAGCTCCTTATCTTCTGCATGTATTCACTGTCACCCAGGGGGCCTGGCTCTCATAGAGGAGACCCTTGACCTCCCATAAATATGCCAAGTGTCACCCACTGTGAGTCCCACATTTTGGAATCACAACTGTGGGGAGCAGGTGCAAGGAGGGAGCATGGGACTGACAATAAGAACCGCTGCCTAGGTGGCAGAGTGGATGGGAGAATGGATGTGCAGAACACAGGTAAGGAGTCCCGAGGAAGTCACAGTTCTGAACTGGGAGAGCTGAGCCCCGGGGGCCAGTGGGATGTAAGAGGTAGAATCTAGCACTGTAATGAGTGGTTGGTGTGTGAAAAGAGGGCCGTCTGGGGTGACTAGGGCTTTCAAATTGGGAGGCAGAGGAGAGATAGCAAAGACAGGACAGGAGAATGGAAGGGACAGGGGGGGGGACCACCTGGGGTATGTTGAATTAGAAGTGCTCATGGGACCTCAGAGGCGGAGTCATGAGCTCATTTATTCATTCATTTCACAAATACCAACTGAGTGTGTGCAGGCTGGGGGCCAGCAGCTCCCAGGCGGGGAGACAGGGTCCCTGTTCTCTGGGGGTTCATGGGAAGGGAAGAGACTCCTCAGAAAGAAGTGGCAGTGGGCTCTGGGCAGGCTCAGGGCTGTGGCCGCCAGTGAGTTTGGGTTGGGCAGTGTGAGGCAGCAGCTAAAGAAAGCTATTTGGCTGAGCCTGCCAGGAGAGGGAAGCACTGTGCCAGCATCCAGGGCAGCAGGGGAGGGCAGCTTGCATGGAAAGCCATGCGGGAGTGACAGGAAGAAGTGATCCAGGCCACAGGAAGAAGATTTCAAAGACAGGACACTGACACATGCGTCCATTCATCCAGTCACATGTAGCCCTCTCTGTTGCAGGGCCCTGGGCAATCAGAGCTGGATGAGAAGTCGGGGGAGGCAGTGTGTGGCTTAAGTGGGATTAAGGCTGCAGGAAAGTGGTCCCCCTGCAAGGTGGGAGTGCTGAGGGCCTCCCCTCTGCTAACCTTGCTGGGGAGGCTTTGTGCAGAGCAGGTGTGGAGGGAGACTGGGAGGAGGATGCTGACACAGAGGCATGCAGCGCACATAGTGCAAAGCTGGGCCTGTGGCAAAAGTCCTGGCAATGTGGGTGACGGGGCATGCAGCCATGTGCTAACAAGCAGAGGGGCCTCCGTGCTGTCTCCTGCCTGGGGCCTGGGCTCCCTTTCCCTTCCCAGGTGCTGAATGGCAGGTACTCATTTCATGCCCAACGCGAAGCTGGGCTCACATGGCAAGAGCTCGGGGGCTAGCGAGGCACCTGCAGGGGAGTGTGACAGAGGGACAGAGAGGCTGGGTAAAGAGGGCTAGGCCCATGCTCTGGGTCCTGGGAGAAGCAAGGGGAACTGAGGGCAGCCTTGTGTGTGCAGAGGGGGAGCAGGCAGAGGTGCCAAGCCTGAGCTCAGAGCCACCCTCTGTGGGGGCCCCGACAACAGAGGGCCTCCCGCTGCCTGACCCCAGTCCCTTCTACACGGGCCTTCCCTGTCCCCTCCTGGGCCACACATCACCAGTCTCAGTCACTAATTTGGAGCTTAAGGCTGGGCTGAAACCTGTGGGCTGGGGTCCACTGTGGGCCAAGACCTCAGGGTGCCAATGTACTCACCCTTGGGTATGGCCTCTGGTGCCCCCTGCTGGCAGCTCTGTCTCAGCGCCCCATCGCTCTGCAGCAGACATTCCACCCAGGACCAGCTCAGGCTTCAGAGTAGGGTATGGGATCCCCAGGGAGGAAGCCTGGCTGCTTATGGCTGAGTGCCCTGCTTCATCCTTCCCTGGCGGCTGGACTGCCAAAGCCCACCACGGGCTACACTCATGTCACAGGTCCTGAACTGTGGACAAGAAGGGCATCATACTGAGCACAAGAGCCAGTTTTCTGGAAAGGCTGCGCGCTGCATGAGTCCATCTACAGGACACTCTCCAAAAGAAACATAAGACACATAAAGATCAGGTTGCTAGGGCTTTAGGAGCCAAAGAAGAGCTGAGGGCATGTGGACAGTGGAAGGGATCCCTCTCCCTGTCTTCATGGTGCCCTACACATGCTAGGCTATTCCCCAGAAAGTGTGCTGCCGGAGGTGGGCCCAGCTGGGGGGCAGTGTCACGGGGACTTTGTAGGCTGTCTCACTCGGTGTCTTCTGTGCTCTGCTCACCAGCTGTCAGGGAGTTAAGCTGCTGTGCTCCCCACACTCGCCTGCCACGATGACCCCCCAGGAGCCAGTCTGCCATGGCCTGAAACCTCAGAAGCCGTGAGCCACAATGACCCACTCCTCCTCTGAGCTGTGGCACAGGTATTACGTCCTACGAGGAAAAGCTGGCTAGTCCACATGCTCCGGCAGAGGAATCTCGAGTCCTGGGGCCGTCATCCCGCAGCAAGCCCTTGGAGCACCTGTACCTCTTCCTGCCGCACGATGACCGCATCACCAGTTGCTGAGCCTGCCTGCTTCCGCCACTGTCCCCTTCCTCTAGGGGCTCCAGGCTGCGCTCTGTCTGTGGCTCTCCCTGGAGGGTGAGCCATTGAAGGGGCCTCCTGGAGACTGGATGTTTCCTTTAGACCAGGCTCCCAATATGGGGGCCCAGCATGCCCTGGCTCAATGGCCACGCCCACTCTTTCAGGTGTCACCTGTGAGCTGTGGCACCCTGTCTGCACAGAGCCTGTTCTCTGCTCTGCAGTGGGAAGAGGGAGGGGCAGGCTGAGAGCCCAGCTTCTTACCCCACTACGTTCTCAGGGACCTTGCAAGAGTCACAGATGTTTAAATTAGAACCTGGTCTTCCGAATCATCATCAAAACACCCTGGCTAAGTAGGAGAATAAAACATTTTATTTCACAGTCATTAGCTTGATTTACAACTTTTAAATACTTAGATGTATGGTAGGAGATCCCCACTGGCACTCTTGCCTGGACCCTGGCTCTACAGGGCCAGCAGCGTGTGCCTGACACACAAGACACAATAAATACCGACTTGGAGAGACTCAAGGGTCGGCAGGGCAGGATGCCTGGCCAGGTGTGGATGCTCAATACATACGTGCTGTTATTGTTCCCTGAGCCACGAACAAGGAGGTGGGGACATGGGATCCATAGCCCGAGGTGCTTGTGCAGGAGGAGGGGTGGGTCGGGGCTGCTGACCCAGGCACACCCCTCGTTTCCCAAGGCTGGGTGCCCTACACCTCTCCCAGTGCTGTGGCAAGGTGGGCCCCAGTAGGCAGCTTGGCAGCCAGGACCAGAGAGGGTGCTACTCCCTCCAGAAGAGCGGGCAGGCTGGGAAGGTGTCTGAGAGGCCGGGTCCCCTCTCCAGAAGCTGTGCCCTGGTGACGGAGGAGCCTCACAAGCTGGTTTTCATCCTGTATCAGGGCTCTATGTGGACAGGGCCCCTCTGTGGCAGGGGCAGGGCACATAGGCATGAAAAACCCTTGCCCGGGATACAGCAGATCAGATCCCGATGTGGACCGTTAGACACGAAGGCAGATGAAGCCAGATCTCTGGCTGGGGCAAAGAGGCTTACACCACAGGTCACATGGTCCTGTCAGCAGCTGTCAGTCCCTGTTTGGTCACCTACACAGGGCTTGGGCCAGGTGCTGCCTGAAGCACCCAGGAAACCCCTCACCAAATCCCCCTCCCAGAACAGAAGCCCCCATCCTGGTACCCAACCAGAGTGCCTGGCGCAGGACATGACAAGAAAGCCCCACTTGAGGTTGTGGTACCCGTGGCACCAGGGGTGGGCGGCAGCCAGTCACTGTGGTGGGAAGATGTCCGTGCACTGCTGAAGGATGAGCTCCACCACCTGGTTCTGGAACACCATGGTCATGGGCATGCTGGCCCCCTCTGTCTCCGGCCGCAGCAGGGTAGGCCCGAACACAATGGCCACACTCTGCACTGACATGCGGTTCTGCTCCCCATGCTCCACCACCCTGTGGGGGGAGAACTGTTAGGCCTGGGGTGGGAGCCGTGGGGACCCCACCTTGGTCACAGAGTGGCTGTGCTCACCGGCGCAGGTGCTGGAACAGCAGCCGCAGGGTATCATGGTTCGGGGTAGGCAACGAACGCACCAGGTCCCGCACACAGCGGCCACGCCTGGCTGGGTCCTGCAGCTCTGCAGGGAGACAGGGGTTGGCGCAGCACAACGGGGCCCCCAAACCCCCCACTCGGGCCTCTGGGGCTCTGGCTCACTGATGGCTGCAAGGAACTGGCTGAAGTGCGAGAAGGGGAACAGCGGCTCAGGCAGCTCGCGCAGGAAGAGCTTGAGCGCGCCGGTGACAACATGGACGTCATCCCACCGGCCATCGTCCAGGTCCAGGCGCTCGTCTGAGGGAGGGCACGGGGGTCAGAAGGGGCAGAGGGGACAAATGAGGTGGGGAATCAAAGAGGGGAGAGGTGGTGCAGTCAGCGCAGCTGCTCTGCCCCAGGGTAGGGGCCTCACCGTGGTCCACATGGTAGCGCAGCTTCTGGATGGTGGCCAAGTTCCCGCTGATGCGGTACAGCCCGTCAGTGTCCAGCCCTGCGGAGATCGAGGCACTGACCCACCTGCCCAAGCCCCAGGCCCGGTGCCCCACTTCCCGTCCCAGTACTGAGGGAGCTGCGCATACCCCGGGCCTCCACGGCACGCACGCACTGCTGCACGAAGCGCGGCACGGAGTTCTTCTCGCGCGCGCACAGCGTGGCCAGCGAACAGCCAAAGACCTGGTCTAGGGACAGGGGGTCAGTGTCGGGCAAGAACCTCCCTCCCCGCCCCCTCTTCCAGGACCCCTCTCCTCTCCCCGTGGTACCCTTGATGTAGCCCCGCTCCCGCAGCGACTGCAGTGTCGGCCGCCTCTGCAGGAACCTGCGCAGCTTGTGCCGCACGCGGCTAAGGTCACTCTCTGGGGTCCCAGGACTTGGGGCGGGTGCAGCTGCGGGGATACAGGCAGGGACACAGGCATCGGTGGGCTATCGGGTCCCAGCCTGGATGCCCCCACACTGTACCCTGCATGGCTCACCTGCACCGTCCTCCCTCTCGCTGGACCTGAAGTCTGTATTGCTGGCCTCACTGTCCTCCTCCAGGGCCGGATCTGTGGGCTGGAACTGTGGTCTGAGCAGGGCAGTGCCCAGACGGCCCTGGCAGGCCTCTGAGGAGACCCTCAGGCAGGGCCCCTACCCAGACCCCATCAGGGTGTTGCCTCCTTTGGCCACAGGAACCCTCAGGCACCTTGTGCTCCTCACCCGCCCATCCTGTGCCCGACCCCTCCCTGCCTCTCTTCCCGGCATCTTCCTCAGCACCTGCACACACTCCTCCACTGACCTCCAGCTGACAAATTATTTTTCCAGCAGGAGCCAGTGCACTGTTAACAGCTGAACTACCACCCTCTTGCATCTGGACTCCTGCTTCTATCACTACAGCCCAAAGCTGCACCCCAAGTTGGCTCAGAGCCCAGGGTCATGGCCAGACGAATAGCTGTGAGAAGGGCCCACCCATCTCTACTTACGTAATTAGTATTTCTGAACCTAAAAAAGGTGAACTTGAATTCAGTCTTTTATCTTCTTGTTTCAGCCTGTCTGGCCTGCAGCTGGCTCTGAGTATTCCTAGTTTTCTTCCTGCCTCCCTTGAGATTGGAAATGCCCCTTGTGCCTGTCCCCTCCTGCAGAGCCCTCCCGAGAGGCCATCCCCAGGTGCCAGGGCTCACTGTGCAGGGCAGAGGCCCCTCCCCAGCCAGGAGGCTGGGGCTCTGCCTACCCACTCCTGGATGCCCTGCGTGATGGCCTTGTGCCAGGCGCTGATGACGTCTTCTGAGTCGTGCTGAATCAGGTACTCAGAGCCATCTCGGCTCCGCAGCTGGAGGGATACAAGTCACTGGGTCACCACGGGACCGGTGCAGGGGGGGGCTCAGAGGTGGAGATGACGGGTCCCTGCCCCTTAGGGCGGAGCCGGGTGAGCAAAGCCCTGGCTGGGAGTCAGCAGGGTCCGGACACCCTGGAGGGTGGAGAGGTCTGTAGGCTGCACCTCTCTCTGGGAAAGCGAGACCTTGTGTACAATGGAAACCCCAGCTTTTCCAGTCTGTGCCCCGCGCCCCCAGCCCGTCCATCATTCAGAATCCATCAGCCAGAACTTGGAGGACACCTGCACAGCCTACTGACCCGGACAGGCCCCAGCCTGTGCCTGTTACCTGAAGGGGCTAAAAACCTAAAGCGACAGCCAGCCTTTCTGGCAGCTCACTCTGAACATGATCAGCTCACACCTGCAAGTCTCCCATGGCCAAGCACTGCAAGGCACACAGTAATCGGGGGCCTGTGAGGGAGGCCACCGAGCATCCGTAGCCCTGCAAGGACATCCTGGGCCCTGTGAAGCCACCCAGCCCTGTGCTACAGAGCTTGGGGCTCTTTCTGCAAGAAAACCCTGGAGTCACCTACAGGGTGCCCTGAGTAGAGGGAGGACAGCTGCCACTGGCAGGGAGGCAAGCTTGAGCTTCCGTCAGGACTGGCATCCTTCTGGGCTCACAAAGATTCCAAGGGCACTGTTGGCCTTCAGACCTTGCCAAAGAGGACAACTGGCCAGGCGTGGAGGGCCACGAGTTCCAGGCCAGCCTGGGCTACAGAGTGAGACCTTGTCTCAGAAAACCAACCCCTCCTCCCCCAAAAGAAGACAACTAGGCCAGGCCTTCTCAGAAGCTTTGGCAGCAGCCCAGTCAGAAGTGGTGTGACAGGTGACAGTGTGAAGGATGCCCCAGTCTAGGAAGGACTGTGGCTCTCAAAGATGAGGTCCTGGCCCAACCTGACACCATGGCAGACGTGAGTTCTTGATGGAAACTGCCTCACGAAGCTTTGAGAAGGCTTCAGATGATGGATCAGAGCAGCTCATCTCTAAAACTGGGTTTCTAATGCTGCTCTGGACACCCTGGCTCTGGAACTGGAAGAAGCTCAGCGGATCACTGAGGATACCCCGCCAGGGCTCCTTAAAGAACTGGTTTTTCTGGGCTGAAATTTGAGGCCAGACTTTGCTCCCTTAATAATAAGCTACCTGGACAGCACAGGATCCCCATCACCCAACAGGGCGATCTGTGGCAGGGCACTGGCCTCATCCTCTAGACCCTGTGTTCACTGAGCTACATGCTGGGAGTTTCTCCAAGAACAAAGGGTGAAGAAGGAACTGTGGTTTCCTGAAGAGCTGGATGGGGTCCCCTGCCCCAACAATTAGCTGTGTCACTGACAGCCTTCATCTCAGTTACCGGAGAAACACGCTGTTTTTCAGCAGCCACCTTAGCACCTGTTTATCACCTGCCCCCAGCCCCTCTCTACCTTGACTTCCATCTCTAATTTGTTTTGCTTGGGTTTTTAGGGGATTCCACCAGTTTGACACCTATAAATATTTATTTTTGAGATAGGGTCTCGATACGCATTTCAGGCTGACCTTGAATTCACAGTGACCCAGGTCACTATGTAGACAAGACTGGCCTCGAACTCACAGTGATCCTCCCTGCTCAGCCTTCTGAGTGCTGGGATTACAGGCATTTGCCACTGCACTCAGTTACCACCTGTGTTTTTGTGGAAATCTGCTGCACAACTTTCAGGGACCCAGGTGGGGACACAGCCGTTTGAAAAGAAGACCACAGAAAAAGCGAAACAGGGAAGGACCTGGCACTGTGAAGCCTTCCCCTGGGTCATCCTGTTCTTCATTCTGGAGATCCCCAAAAGCTTGTTCCTGCCCTGGTTTCTTTACTGAGAGCAGATGGCCCTGCCCAGCAGCCAGAAGAGGGCACCAATTCTAGGCATAACAGCTTCCTGTCCCAGAAACCCCTGCTCCTCACCAATCTCAGCTCCTACGGGGGAAGGGTGGACCCAGATGGCAGAAACGCTGCTCCAGGATGGGCAGCTCTGGCCTGGTATCCCACTCGCCAGCTCCTTTTCCTGGTGCCAGCTGTGGAGAAGGCTCCTCCTCCCTGCCCACTGCTCACCTCCATCACATTCTTCTTGCTGGATTTGTCCTTGGGGGCCCAGGAAAGAGAGGCCCCCTTCAGTTCCACCGTGTACTCTGGCGTGGAGAGCTTGGAAGGCTGCTGCCTCTGGCAGAGGGGGGGAGGGGTGGCGCATGGTTAGGGGGTCTTCACCTCAAAGGCGCCTGCCACAGCATTTGCCTCTGACCCACTGGCTTCTTGGTTCTAGGGACAGACTGGGGACCCCAGTAGAGCCAGACAACAGCTTTGGGTTCCTGGGCCCTAGATGTCCTGGCGCTTCTTAGTCAGAAGCCTGCTGGCCAGCTTGTTCACTGCTGCCCGCGCAGCCACCCCAGGTGCAGGATGCCAGGCTGGTCTTCCTCCTTCCACTGGCAAGGACTGCCCCACCCCAAGGTGGCTGGGACTGCTTGTGCTGGGTGGATTTGATGCCACCATCCTCTCTCTGCTGAGCCCAGTTGCGTTGCTTGATGGTACAGCTCTCTCAGCCTAGATCAGACCAGGTTAGATGGGGAGGTCCCTGCAAGGGCCCCAGCCTCACCAGGCCGCCTGCAGCCGAGGTCTTGGAGTCCTTGAAGAAGGTCAGGACACTGCCCTCTAGCACTGACCAGGAGGTGCTCCAGTGCTTCTTCCTGGGGGCAAGCAGGGCTCAGACTTGCTCCCAGCAGAGGATGTGCTGACTCCCAAGGTAAGGGCATCCTTCCCAGTAGACAAGGGGCACGAGGCAAGGCACTATCTATCTCTCAGTGCCCCTAAGACCTCAGGAGAGTCCCCGGAAGACAGGCCCACCCTGCCCTTCTGGGCCAGCTCTCACCGGAGCCGCTTCCCCTTGTCCGCCGTCCGGGTGCAATGCAGCACCCCTGCCTTGTCCAACGTTTTGATCTAGGGAGAAGGGAGAAAGTGGGGCCCCGGGATGAGCCATGGCAGAGCTCCGTGGGCAATCCCTGTGGGCTGGATGGAGTCTCCTCCTCACTGGCCACCTGGCAGCTGTGGAGGGGCCTGCTCCTCCCTCAAGACCCCCGCACTTGGGCCTAGTGCTGGCCTGGAGAAAGGCAGGAGGACCCCCGTCTCCGCCCCCAGTCCTTCAGGACTCCCCACTTCTCCAGTGGTGTCCCCCAGGGCCTGCATGCCCACCCCTCACCTTTTCCTCTGGGGGGCTGGCTGAGGCTGGAGTGCCACCATCCTGACTGGTTTTGCGGATGGTCCGAGGGGCAGGGACGGGGACCTGCGGAGGAGGACACTGTCATACAGGGTCTCCTTGGCCGCACAGGCGCTCCGTCCCACGCTGGTTACCTGGGGCAGCTCCCACCGCACCGAGGAGTCCTGTGGCCTGTAGAAGTAGGCCTTGCCGTGCTGGTCCTCCAGCCTCACCCACTGTGGGGACAGGGGCGGTCAAGGCCCACGCCCTACGCCTGCGAGGGGTCGGTCCCACCAGCGGATCCCAGGGTGGCCGGGCTTGGGGGATCCCAGGCGTGCCCCGCCAGCCTCTGCCCTACCTGCTCTCCCGTGAAGTGGTTGGTGTAGAGCGTCTGCCCGTCGGGGCCCAGGTGACAAGACCAGCCGGGGGGCGGGGACAACGGGGACGCGGGGCTGGACTCCCCGCAGGAGCCAGCGGGGGCATAGTCCTCCTCAGGGTAACTTGACAGCGACTCGGGGTAGTCGGCCTCTGGGGTGGGGGGCTGCGGGGAGCAGAAGTGCTCAGCACCAATACCGCCCCAGCTCCCCCCCAGGTCGGCCTTCCAGGGAGGTGTCAGGGCCCCCGACCCCACCCTCAACCCACCGGGCCCCGCCCCTCTGACCCCGCCCGCCCTCGGCCCCGCCCTCGGCC